GATTGGTTAGGGGACACTGGATAGGTCAGTATATAAAAGCAGCCTCCAAAAAGTGAAATATATTAGTTCGAGTTTGGACAGTTTGTAAAGCGATCCAGTCTTCTACCACGAATCTTACGTTACATGTGTGTAATATTTTTCATATAAGTAAACATAAAATTAAACCAAGTTAATCCTCGATTTTTGTAAACGTCATAGATAAAGTCTAAACTAAAAATCAGAAAAAAATTCAATTTGAATCCTACAAAAATGCAATTATCCAGTAATAGTGACAAGAAGCTTACTCCAATTCAGAAATTTTATGATGGTCAAAGTATATTGATAACTGGTGGAACAGGGTTTTTGGGCAAGTTATTAATCGAAAAATTGTTAAGGAGTTGTCCTACCATCATGTGCATTTATATTTTGATACGTCCGAAAAAAGGAAAAGACGTACTTCAACGCAAAAATGAATTATTTCAAAATACGGTAAGTTTGAACAAAATTAATCAAATATTATATTCTTCATTTTTGTTTACATTGACATAACACAAAAATGATTTTTTTTTTTTATAAAATAGTACTTTTGTTTTACGTATTTAACCCTTAAAGTGCACATGGGGTGTGTTTGACACCCCAACAAATTTTTGATCTCTCGAAAACGGTACTGGTATCATTTAAGATATAGAAGATATTCTTTATTTTGACAAGTATAATCAGTAAACAATAACAATTCACAATCTCTCAAACTCACTCTGACTTCAGAAAACGCACGAAACCTGCGAAAATCCGCAATCTTACCACAACTCGCTACTCATTCGCTATTCACTCTCTAATCACTCTCTAATCACTCTCTAATCGCTCATATCGTATCGCTTTTGTCACTCGCTCTCGTCGCTCGGTTCTCACCCACCACGCTCACCCTTCACGCTCGCACACGCGTGAATGTCTTCTCCTTATATGTTCACGCGCCCACCCTGCATCCCTGGGGGGATGAACGATCCATCCTTCTCATCGTTCCTGAATTTCCCCAATAAACAAATCACCGATATCGCGTGCAAACTTTGTAAGCTCACACAGACTTGCACACACACACACACACACACACACACACACAACTTACGTAACTTACAGAAAACAGACCACGCATCGTCTTTCTTTATTTCGACCATCAAGTCCTTTCGTCCTTCTTTTCTACTTATCCATGTTTAATCTTCGATACTTCAAACTCCCCTACATAAATATATTTGAATAGAAAAAATATACAACTTTTTCTATGCTCACTTTTCAGGTATTTTCCAAACTACGAGAAGACCAATCAAAATTTCAAGATAAAATCATTTGCATTACTGGAGATTGTAATTTGCCAAATCTCGGTATCACAACTTTAGATAGAAATACTCTTATAAATAAGATTTCTATTATTTTTCATGTTGCAGCCACAATTAGATTTAACGAAAATATAAAATTAGCTACAAAATTAAACGTGCAAAGTTTGAAAAGTATGATTAGCTTATCAAAGGAAATGCCAAAGTTAATAGTACGTATATTTAACTTTATCTGCATTAATTATAAACTTTTTAAATTTCTCAATGAAAAAAATATAATTTTATTATAGAAATATTCTTTATGTTCTCAATGTATTAGAGTTTTGTTCATATATCCACGCTTTATTCCCAATGTATTTACAATCCGGTTGAAGAGACATTTTATGAAGCACCGATGGACGAAGATAAATTGATCAATTTGGTTGATAATTTAAATGAAGAATTACTGAATTATATTACACCAAAGTACGTTTTTATCTTAAATCGTCAATTATACTAATGATTATTTTTTCATTTCTTTAACAAAAGTATATTAAAAAAAAAATGTTTCATATTATTATATGAATTTAGATTACTTGGATCATGGCCGAATACATATGTATACACGAAATCAATTGCTGAAAATATAATAAGGAAACAAGCTGGTTTGCTACCGATCGGAATATTTCGTCCAGCAATTGGTTAGTAAAATGAATAATTTCTAAAAAAAAAATGACGAAAATTTCAATTAAATAATATTTTTAGTTGTATCAACGTATCGAGAACCAGTTCCGGGATGGGTTGATAATTTTAACGGTCCAATGGGAATATTCGCAAGTGCTGCAAGTGGTTTATTACGAACTCATAATTGCGATGGATCTGTAAAACCATCGATAGTACCAGTAGATTTGACAGCAAATGCATTAATAGTCAGCGCTTGGGACATAGCAAATAATCGAAGGTATCGAATAATTATTTGCAAACAATAATACTTTTAACTATTATTATAGAATAAAGACAAATTTCTGGCTAAAATTAAATTATATCGTTTTTTCTTTTTTTAAATATCACATTTTCTACTTTAGATCCAAACAAGATATTCCCATATATAATTATACATCTGATGACAATCCTATAACTTACAAAGAATTGATAGACAAGACGTTAAATTACACATCATTAACACCATTTAAAAATGCTATTTGGTATTGTAACTTTAGCATTACAAAGTATCGACTGCTCCATCTTTTCTACGTATATTTTTTACATTTATTACCAGCTTTCATAATCGATACTGTACTGTTATGTTCATTTAAAAAACCATGGTAAAGTTCCATTTAAACCTTCTCTTCTAAGGCAAATTATATAAAGTATGAAAAAATAAATAGTTCTTTATATTTCTTTTCGTTTCAGGTTGTTAAAAATATATGGAAAATTAAATGAAATGGTGCACTTACTTAGTTACTTTTCTTTAAAAGAATGGAAATATCCAAATGAAAGATGGAAAGAAGCATTCAATAAATTAAAAAACGAAGATCGAGAATTGTTTTATTGCGATATGAAAGATGTTGTTTGGGATACCTTTTTCAGAACTTATTTATTAGGTATAAGAATATACCTCTTAAATGATCCCATAGAAACTATACCACAAGCTCGTAAAAAGTGGAAAAGGTATTTATCATTTTTTTTTTATCTTTTATCTATAAATCTATTATTTAAAATCTCTTGGAAATAATTCTTATAATTTTTTATATTTTTAAGGCTTTACTGTATTCATCAAACATTTAAATTTTTATTTATTAGTATTTTTATCACGATTCTATGGATTTTGATTTGTAAATTAAATATCACATTCGCATAAAATAAAAATTTTTTTTTTCGGCAACTAGGACACGAAAGAAGAAGTGATATTTATTTTATTCATCAAAAGTTTTAATTAAGCGACTTTATCTACTTTACGTATCTTTAATAATAAATGCAGAGGTCTTAAGTATTACATCACAATAAATACATGTTGTTAATTGAAAGTTACTACTTTTACACTTGCGTATACAAAAGATTAAGTATTCAATTGAATTCAAAAATGTGTGATTTTGCGTTAAACTTTAATGTTAAGTGTATTATTAAATTAATATTATTTATTTTCTTTAATCTCTTTTAAATCACAACTATTTTATTTATTATATTTTTTTGTACGTTTACAGAGCAATATGTGTTACTGGAATTTATGTAAATATATCTAGAAATATATAAAATATTTTTATTTTTATAAATTTGCAATAGAAACAGAACAGTTCATTACCACAAATAACCAAATCCCGCCAGTGTTCCCGTCTCTGAACGCGACCCTTCCATTCGTGGTCTTCGTATCTTTTTTTTTTTTAGATCCCTTCTAATATTATCCACCCATCTACCTAGTGGTCTTTTCCCGTTTGGTATACCGACCAATATTTTGTGCGCCGTTCGATCTTCCCCCATGCACCGCGCCACGTGACCGGCCCATCTTAATCGGCATGATTTTACGACGTTAATGATGTCCGGTTTGTTGTACAATCAATGTACTTCAACGTTATGGAGTTTTTTCCATTCGCCTGTTTCTTCATCGCCTTTTGCACCGAACATTTTACGAAGAACCTTGTTTTCAAAAACCCTAAATTTATTTTCATTCCGTAACGTAAGTGACCACGTTTCGCTACCATAAAGGAGACAACCGGCTGGATGATTATTCTGTACATCCTGATTTTTAATCGCCTAGACAGCAATCTCAAACTGAGTAATTTATTGGTCGAATAAAAGCATGCATTGTCATAATTGATTCTTTTCTTGAGTTCTTCTTTAATTTCGTTCACAACACGTAAACAGAACGAAGAGTTAAAATAAGAATATTGAAATAAACACTCGGAAGATTTAACATGAATAATTGAACTTTTTTTTTTTTTTAAATAATTTACATAAAGTTTTGAATGTAAAGTATCAAATTTGTCTCGATATTAAAAATATTTTCATAAACTACCTATAGAAAAAGTTAATTTTACATACACACACACACACACACACACAATAAGGAATATATTTAATTTTATTTAAACAAAGTAATGTGGTTTTTTAACTACAATGCCGTATTCTGCAACTGCAGGAGTCAGATCTTCCATAGTAAGCATATAACGTCGATCCTTTCCTTTTGTTTTTGTATTTTGATTAGCACCACGTGTTTTGCCATGTTGAAGAGCATCATTTGCAATTTCCGATATAAATTTTTGAGCAGCTAATGATACTAGACGCACTCTAATAAGGATAAAAATATTGTTATTAGCTTTTTTTTTTATTAATATAAATATATATATGGGGAATTTCACGTCAAATCGACCACTTTTGACCCCGACCCCTTTCGATTTTGCTCAAACTTTTTTTTTATCATTTTCAACTTCATTAAAAACATGTTTGAAAATAAAAAAAAAGTTTTTATATCAGAAAAAAAAATACAAAGAAACGTCGGCCCCATTTATATACTTACATTCTAGGATCGATAGTATTAAAACCAGCAGTGTGCAAATAATGCTCGCTAATAGCATCAGGTACCTAGAATAATGAATAATTAATAATAAAATAGATCAAAAATGATATACATATATAAATAATAGAAATATTTGAATTTTGTAATACCGTTGGTGTATAGTCTTCTAATTGTAAAAGAAAATCGGAGAGTGGCTGACCAGCTGTTTTTTGTTCCTTATTTGTATACATGGGGGGAACATCTCTTTCAAAATTTTCTGCCATGTCTTTTCACTGATTCTTAATAATAATATATAAGATTCAAAACGGACAATAATGTTATACAATGATCAATGATAGTAATTGGATTATTATCTGTAAATATCATATTTATACATTTCGGTATTTATAAATCATTCGTAAATAAAATACGTCAAATATAAACTACAATTTATAATAAAACTTACACCGTAATTTCTAATGAAAATATAAATGTTGAAAAATGCACAAAATATTCTCACATTCACCCATTGGACTTCGAAAACAGACACGTAAATAAGGTTATAAATGTTTTTAATATTAAGAATGCTACTTGCGGCGACCTCTGTATGCCGTTATTTTAACACTTAGCCATCACACTCATTGATCCCAGAAACTTTTGCTTGTCTGATCGACACAGTGCCGTAAAATTATCGGGTACTCCGTAAAATTATTGTACGTACAGAAAAAAGTTTTGACTAGGTTAACAAAGATTTTCCGGATTTCCAGATTTGTTTTTTTAATGCAATTTTAATGCAAAAGTGCAAAAAAAGTATAAAAAAGTGTATAAAAAGTACATTTTCGCGACTTGATAACGAGGCGTTGATCGAGCGCTGCACTGCACAATCGAAACAAAAACAAAATCGAGACATATCGAAAATTATATTTTTTTCGAATTATCCTAAATTATCATACAAGTTGAATTTACGATCATACAGTGCTTTAAATTATGTGACGTGATCACTCACACACTATTGTCTATAGTCACGGAGGTTAGATATAAGGAGGATAATCGTAAAGTATCGCAAGCGTCCTTGCGGGAAATGAGGGGACAGATCTTTTGCCACTAGAGCGCGTTAGTGTGGCTAATGTCAGGTTTTTAAATCTATTGTCGCGGGAATGTAACAATTGTACTCACATTAGTCAAAATAAATTAACCAAATCTTATAATTAACGTTAAAAATAGCAATAAGAAAAAATTGTTTATTATTTTACAATTATTCTCAAGATATTATCGTGGATTTGTTGTGTAAATCTATTCAATTTCATCTTACCTAGACGCAGTTGAGTAAAGGATGGAAAACTAAATTTAAAAAGTCCAATTAAAAGTAAATTGTAATTTATTATCGTAAATTGCACTTTTTACCATTTGCATCATTGCATTTTCTTTATATTAGTAATTAATAACTATTAACTAAGGTTATACTACCTGTGATACAGTGAATAATTATATACGTATTTTTTTGATTTAATTTAACATTCTTGTCACGATCGTTGACTCGTCCTCTTGTACACCCATAAACAATACATTCATTTACCATTTTTAAATAAATATTACTTTTTATAAATTAAAAAAACACTAATACAATTCCTAATGATGGATGCAGTATTGTCAACAATTGTCAATGAACAATACGACGTTATAAACTTGACATTAGCGAATATAACGAAACCTAGCGACGTATTTCCGAAAATGATCTTTCCTTTTCTTTCCAGTCGCGTTTGCTAATTATTTTCCCATGTCGATCGCCCTCCTGGTATCTAGCCTTCGTGATTTCAATTGATAACTAACCTGTAAGCGTGGCTTAAAAAATATAACCTAAATGATAAAATGTATAAATAAATGTTACTTATCAAAACTTTTTAAGGGATATTACATTCAAACTTAATAGGAAAGTATAGTACAATATATTCTTAGTTTTAATATAATGTAATATAATGTTTTTCGTGTTTAGTCTCAAGTATTGATACATGTAATGATTTTACATTTTTCATTATTTATATATAATGTGTTCTTTTGTAAAAAGAAAAAAGGTGCTGCAACTTACATCCTATGAAAAAGTTTTTTTTTATTAAAAAGAATTATATTAAGATACCATTTAAATGAAATTTGAAGCTTTTTTTTATGCCACGGAGCTTATAAGAAATAAAATATAATTTATCTTAATCTTTTATTTTATTTCAGACATGATTAAATCTAAACATTATACTTTATTACTTTATTATTTCTTTCTTATTCGCTTTTAAAACATTTAAAATACTGTTAATAAAATGCCGGAACATCATTACAATATAGTACACCACAAAAAATACATTATATGTGCGTGTGTATATATATGTTAATATTTATTTCATATTTATAATACATCAGAGAAAATATAAAATATTTATCTATATATTTCACCATTTAACATGGTGCACATCTTGGCATATAAGATAAACAAGATGATAGATAAGGTGGTGCACATGGTGGTGGACATGGTGGTGGACATGGTGGTGGACATGGTGGTGGACATGGTGGTAGACATGGTGGTGGACATGGTGGTGGACATGGTACACATGGGTCACAAGGATCACAAGGAGTACATGGCGAACATGGCGAACATGGCGAACAAGGCGAACAAGGCGAACAAGGTGAACAAGGTGAACAAGGTGGAGGTGAACAATAAGTTATACATGGTGGACAAGAAGGCGGACCAACTGAAGAGCAAGGAGGCAATGCACATAGCTGCGGGGGACATATTGGCGGACAAGGACTATTGCAAACAAGTCTGCAATATGCTGCTAATGCAGATTCTCTTGCTTGATCTGCGCAGAAAAATTTTCTAAGAGCTACATTAACATCTCCTAAATCTGTTAACTTTAGAAGTGCATAAGCCCCAGGTCCGCAAACTGGATATAGTTTTGTTAAACACTCTGGTCGACCCATACAATCCCACATCATGCATCTATCTTGTAAACCATTCCTCCTGATACACTCGCATCGATGCATTATACTTGCACGAAGATCCAAGCTTTTGCATCGTTTAATAGGCTCCTATATGATTACAATTTTTATTCATTTTGTCTTTATAAAAACAATGCAATATAAATTTAACTTACACAACATGGATCACAAGAATTCATAACTGGACAGTTCACAGGTGGTGGACATGCTGGTTCATCCCATTCACATGGTTTTCTATTTATTATATTAATTTATAATTAAATCAACTTTATTGTAATATATAATATTCTCTTACTTCCTATCCATGGAACTAATTAAACATTTAAGTTGAGCTAATAATTCACGTCTTCTATCACAATTTGGATTTTTTCCGTCGCAAGGCATGTTTAATTTTAATTGTAAACATACATGTATACTTCAAATTTATCTAGAAATTTTTTCTTTTCTTTTTTTTTTTGTCAAAATTATCAAATTGTTTAAATATACATTTTATACGATTAATTTAATTTGAACAACATTGAATTTGTAAAAAGCCTAAATTATTCAATTATTTTTTTATTTTGAAAGTAGTTGTCATAGCGAACGATTGTCATATTGTATCAAACAATCGCATAAATCTTTCAATACACTTTCTAAATTTATTGAGTAATTTTTCGAAAATATTATTCCTTAAGTTACTAAGAATTATGAATTTGTTACTTAGTATTATTGGTATACATTCAATGGGTTATTAAAATTACAGTAAACGAAAGAATAATTAAGAAAGGTACAACACACAATCAAAAGTACAAAAAGAAATTCAAGAAACATGGACTGTAATCAATTTTCTCCAACATGTTCATTAACATGTCCAGTAAATAATAGCTATCTGCCTGCTTTCTCATCATGTCCACAAAGCTTACAATGTACACCTTACTCACCGGCATGTCTAATGTGTCCAGTTCCATGTAGAATTACAATATGTACACCATCTATATCTTGTAGCCCTTGTCCGCCAAAATGTAATCCTTATTGTCCACCTCCGTGTACTTTAACATGTTCACCAAGATGCCTTACAAGAGTAGCAACGTGTCCCACGAAATGGACAATAATATCTTAAACTGTGTTTTTTATTTAAAAATTATGTTCTATATATATAAAAAAAATTGTATAAATGATTTATTAATTACAAAATGTATATTTTTTTTACATGAACATTGTTGTAATATTGATATAATAGGAACTATTAAATTTTAACATATTTATAAAGATTTCTTTCAATTTGTAATAAAACACCTTGCTCATTCAATTTCGATAGAAACAGACTAAAATCTTGTACATTAATACCACCATTAACTGCAATTTCATTCAGTTCTGTAACTGAAAATAATCTTTGTCTATTCAATTTGATTTCATTTTCTAGTAACTTTATAAATATTTGTACCTATTAGAGAAAATAATTATATGAATTTATAAATAATTTTAACATTACGTATTTCTAAATCCAAATATATATATATAGGAAGTTCCCAAAAATATGGGCATAACTTTGGAAATAAATTCAAAGTGTATTCAAAGTGATTTCGAGCCAAGGACTAAAAGATCATGCATGAGATTAGAAACGTTACTTGTAATTTGAAAACAGGATCATATCAGGTATATGAACTTTTTTTCTTATTTTAACGTAATAAATTTATCCCCAAAGTTATGTCCATATCTTCGAAAATTGCCTGTATATATGTAAAAATGTTAAACATACTTTTCCCCCTGTAAATTTACTTCCAAGTGGTAACTTCAAACTTGGATTTTCTAATACGTTCATCATCGTGTAATCCAATATTTCGACTACTTCTAAAGCATCAGACTCTGTAGCCTCAACGCGTAATTCTAACTTTGCTCTAGCCTGAAAATGTTAATGTTATTGTTATTTATCGCAATATCATTTGTAAATATAAGCATAATTATTATAATTATAATAGAATGAGTAACGGCCAACCTCGGTTAGTCTAATCATTGCTTCCAATTGTCTATTATATATAGGAATACCACCTAATTCTGCATTCCTCAATCTGAGCTCTAAGTAATACTTTTGCAATACTTCTGCCGCCTTAACAGTTAATTTTGGATGAACATATTGACGAGCATATGAGATATACTTTTTTAGTATAATCTGTGGTATTACGTCTTCAGGTTCTATCGATGAAAACATTAGTTTTTCTCTAGAAAAGAATATACATAATTGAATTTTACATATGAAATAATAATCCTTTAATATAAACTTATTTTTCAAATTACTTTAAAGAATCATTCAATGATATTGATTGCATTGATTGATCATCGCTTGGAGTCTTCTTTGTCTTCTTGTTATTTAAATTAATATGAGACGACATAATATGTTTACATATTAAATGATCACGTCTCTATTACATATAAACAAATGAAATTATAAAATATTAATGTAACACTTATTGTTAGAGAAGGAAAATGTTTTTTTTTTTTTTTTTTTAAATAACCACATACTTTATCTGGATTATCAAGGAGTAAAAAAATTAAATCAAATCTTGAAAGAAGTGGTTGACTTATATTTAAATTTTGTAAAATTGTCTTGCTTTTATCGTATCTACCCCCAATGTGATTTGCAGCTGCAAGAACAGATGTTCTAGAAGGAAGAGAGCATAGTATTCCGGATTTAGCAACAGTGACACTTTGCTGTTCCATAGATTCTAATAGAGCCTGCATAACATATTATTTTTCTATATAAGTTAAAGTAATATTCAAACAATGTGTACATTATATGCTCTTTTAGTTTAAGATCTTATTTACATACCTGATGTTGCACAGACATTTTATCAAATTCATCGATGCAACAACAACCTCTATCTGCTAAAACTAAAGCACCAGGCTCTAACGCAAAGTCATTTGTCCCATTTTCTTTTGTGAGAGTAACGGTTAATCCTGAAGATGTACTCGAATTTCCACATATATATACACCTAAAACATAGAAAAATATCTTTAGAAATATGCACTTTGAAGTAAATATTTACACGAGTATATTCACCTTTGACAGATACACGCGAACATGCTTGTAACATTTGTGATTTTCCAAGACCAGGGTCTCCTACTATAAGTACATGTATATGATCACGTAAGCCTCTACGTTTCGCATTTCCGCCAAATAAACTTAATATTAATCCAGCTTTAATCATTTCATGACCATATATACTTGGACACAATGAATGTATTAGTAATGAAAAGACATTAGGCTTTTCATATACCTCCTAGAAAATGATTTTATGATTTTATTAGTATAAAACAAAAGTAAAATAAAATATATATTGAAATATATGTATATTTATATAAATATATATAAACCTTAATTGCAAGATAATCTTTTATATTCATATTATTTGTGACTGTGTCTGTGTTCATATGCATTTTGTCAGTATTTTTATCAATATTATTATCATTAACATTATTGTTATGAATTATTGTTACAGCTTCCATGTAAAAAGAAAATGAAGCAGTAGCATGTCCTTTAGATGTATTATCGTCGATTCCTTGAACCTGATAGTATAAAATTATTAAGAAAAAAAGACCTAAAAAAAAAAATGATTAATTGTATAGCATAAACGTTGCTTACTTTAACTATTCCTGTAAGCAATAAATCATCTCCTGGCATGCAAGTATCCACCAAATCATCCAAAATTTTGACGTCTAGTATTCTAGGCATTCTACCTTTAGTTTCCTAAAAGAATCTTATATAAATCTTATATAAAAGTTAATAGTATTATTACAGTCTATGTGATTAGTTCGAGGTAATGACTACCAACACCTTCTCACACTTATTTAATACTATCTAAGAGGTTGCCTCTTTTTATTGTTTTTTTAGTGCAAGCATGTCAAACTCTTGTGATATTAATTTACAGGTCGCATGTGTGTGTGTGATCTATTTTTTATTATAGTTGGGAGCCACATATTTTCAAGTTCAAAAAATGAATGAAATAAGATGTTTATAAAATACTCATATATATATATTTGAAAAAGGTAAATACCTGTTCGTTATTGAATATCTCTTGTATTCTAATCATTTGAAAAGATATAGTTTTCACATGAGGTGAATTCAATACAGGTTGAAACGTTGATATACCACAAATGATACATTTTTTAGGCACGGTATAAAATCCCTCTGACTGTTTTTCCATCTTTTCCAAACCACATTTTGTACATGCAAACACAAACCATTGAGCAAGCTGCTTTGCTCTTCCTACCCTTACAACACATCCTTTCGTATTTATTAATTTTCCTTAAATAAAAAAAAAAAAAGGACAATGAAAAAGTATTAGAGATACAAAATATCGGAATAATATATAGTTTTAATAAAATACCATAGGAATTCACTTTAATATCTCGTAAACAAATTGTTTCTGCATAGTTTAATATTCTTATTTTGACTGTAGGCAATAAATAAATTGAATTCACAAAACTTTCTAAGTCTTCTTTGGACAGGGTATTTAAAATATTCTGGAAATGATAAACGATAATACTAGACGATAAACCGAATATATAGATATGTACTGATTTACTAACATATATAAGTTATATTCTCCAGAATAATTGAGGAATATTATTTATATGTAAACATAATTTATATTAGGTTTAGCAGAGAGAAAATGTTCTTCCCCTAATGTTATCTCATATATGGTTGAATCTTTTTACCATTGTATTTCTACATATTCTAAATTTATTGAAACAGTGCTTTCATCATCTGAAAATGATATTAGTCAGCAAATATTAATAAATATATTGAAAATGTATTATTCTTTTTTTCATTTGAGAATAAACAAAACTTTCCGGTAAACCTAATTTTAAATAGAATAAGAAAAAAATAATCTCTCTTAAACAATATTTATGTATATGAATATACCTGATGAATTGCAAGCTTGATACAATTTATTGTATACATTGATTTTTCTTGTATATCACTTTTAAAATTACTCCACTCATTTAAAAACTTATCATCATCACATAAATCATTATAATCAATATGGAAAATCATTCCAGCCTCTAAATTTTCCAATGTAAGAAATGATGACAGTTTTGAATAATTTTTCAAAAATTGTTTGGCAGCTTCAACTTTTTTTACAGTACTGGAGGAGTTTTTGTATTCTAAAAAAAAAAGTTAAAAGAACTAATCAGACAGTATTTAAAGTTTATTTGTAACGTTTTAACAATAATGTAATATTTTTTCTTCAATACCTTTCTCATCAAAGTACAATGTCCATCCATGGTATGGAATATTGCTACTTTCATGTATATGTAAAGATGCATCATCTTTAGATGAGCATTGTGATCGCTTTTCTGATGTTTTAATTTCATTAGTTATTCCTATCATAACATAAGTATTAATCAATAGTAAATGTAACTACGTTATAAATGTAATGTAACTGTATAATATATAAGATTATTTATTTATATATCTAAGAAATTATAATAAAAATTCATTTAAGCAGATAAACTTAACCTACATTTAAAACTTACTAGTTTGTTCGGTTGCTTTTTTTTTCGTATAAAAACGTTTTTTATAAAAATTATTTCGTCTGTCATTCATATTTCATATAGTTGTATATATATTTAAGTAGTAATATGAACTTAATCAATTTTAACCTCAAAACATAATTCTGACAGCACTCATCAATATATATATATATATATAGAATGTGTTTATAAATTGACATGTATTCAAAATTGGCGTTGTATCATAGAATGAGATGTCTCCCTCTGGTGGCATGCAGTCATATTATAAAAATACGCCCAAAATTTTGAACAAAATGACTGACACCTGGCTTTCGAATTCGAAAGGAAGATAGATAGATATTGATTATGCATACTAAAAATAAAAAATGTAGTAGCATAGAAGCTCGCGAAATCACTTTTCGTGTAAAAGATCATCTTTAGGTAGCACCGAGACCATCAGTGGACGATAATTGATTGAATACTGAGGAGAACGATCGCTATAGGCAATTTGTCATAAATTGTACCTACTATCGCCCACTAGTGGCCCCGGTGCTAACTATGATGATTTTGGTTACACGAAAAGTAGACTTGTAAACTTCTATGTACTTTTGTATTCTTTAATTTAACGTTATCTATCAATGATAATATACATAAATATACTTTTTGCAATAATATATTAAATATATTAAATGCAATAAAATATTAAAATATAACTAAATAGTCTAATGGTATTAAACTTATAGATTCATTTTTCTGAAAAGGAAATAAAAAACTAAATGATTTTAGAAAGACTTTTTTTTTCTTTTTTTTTTTTTTATAATTAAATGTGTATTATGCTGAACATATGTACAATGATATATTTACATTGTCATTACAAAAATTACGAGAACATATAAAAATGTAAACTAGATTATTTTTCAATTTACATACCTACCTCTGAGCACACTTATACGTCTCAATTCTTAAAAGAAAAACCTTAATCTCATTCATACACTTTGACGTTCGATAAAGAGAATTTTGTATCTATGTGTATACATATATGTGTATGATTGTCGTGTGCGAATTTATGTGATAGAAAATGTACCTGATATTTATTTTGAAATAATCATCAGTAAATAATAACGAACATTATTTTTATATCATGTGAGCATTGTTACTACTAATATTGAATTTCATTGCAGTATAAAAGCAGTAGAAATACAAAAGATAAACGTCACAAGGTTAAAAAATTACTGTTAATTAGTGAATACACTTAAATATCGTTCAATTATATATATATATATAATAAATTATCTAATTGTCATTTTCTGATTGTAAAGCAATTGTCATTAGAAAATGGAATATGTCTTATACTAAATTATTTTATGATATAGATATAATTGATAAGAATATTCTTAAATACATACAATGTATCGTGATCGTTTGAATACGTGATATACTAAGAAATATAAATAAGTCTAATTACATGAAATAATTGCATTGATATTTTCTCGTACATATGTAAATAAATGTACATTTTTGGAAGAATAAAAGAACAGAAATTGTGTCATTCATCGACAATACCTATAACCGAAATTTGTATAAAATGTTATTACTTTTTCAATAGGGCTTCTTCATTTTATGTCACTATACTTTTATTCTACTGATAGTCGAGCCGCTATACTGAATGATAATGAAATCGAATGGCTCAACCAGCTATTGAAATAATATATCTTTCAATTATTTAATTGAAATTATCAATGACAACCGCAGCTCTTTACGACCATATTTTTATACTTTTTTAATATAACGTTACTCTCATCAAGAAAATATAAGACAGAAATAGCTGAAAGTTTCGTTGGCGCACAACAGGGCTTTGGTACTTTACCAGGATTCACAAGATGAACCAATGTCTGTACGATCGCATGATTGGTAGCGTTCATATGAGCGTTCAAGGGAAAATTGCATTCACCGCTGCAATAATATGCGTCGTATCCATCCGGTGCTATAATCCAGTCCTATAAAATCAATATTCATTATTCATCGATAAATAACAAGAAATAAGTTTCTGACAAAGATCGAATCAACAAAGAGAAAAAATTTTTGCATAAAATAATCTTCAGCGATTATTTATTATTTACCTGCCACTGAAGATCCCTGAAGCTGACGTAGAGCGTTTGAATCTTGCAAGTTCTCGAGTTGTATTGCGCGGCAGCATCTGCAATATTTACATTTATTTTCAATTCGATTTTAAGTATAAAACTTATAATATCTTTAGATACATCTATTTCTATCTATTTATATTGAAAGAATGAAAATACGATAGTTACCGGTGTAAGGATTTCGATAATCGAAGCTAGACGTTTCACTTTTCTTTTTTCTTCTAGCATCACGTTTCTGTCTTACTCTTGATTCTCTAATACCAGAACTTTTAAAGTAGCCAACCATGAAGGGTTGCTTGTCCGGTTTACCTTTGAATCCAACCATACCAATATCCTCTGTTCTCATCTCATGTACTAAAAAACACAAATATCCTTATTTTTATTACAACTACTTTTTCTAAAGTCTCTAGAGTCATATATATTTTTGTATGATTAAAAAAATCAAGCTATTAGCAACCGATTGTTTCAATTTCATTTCAACAATGTTTATAGAAGCACACATTTGACTCTATAAAAGAATGCTTATATACATGCATACCAACATACGTAAATATGTACGACGTATACATTTGAGCGTATGTTTATTAGAATGGGTCTGCCTTCTGAGATTATTAATAGCCAACCTTCATGAATATTAACTATTTAAGAATCTTGAGCCTAAGTCAAGAAGTCTGATATCTATCGAGCCGTTCACTTTGACGCTATAGATTACAGTTCGTGGTTTCTCAACATGTTAGCCCTGCAATTAAGGTAACATAGCGTTGCCACGTACAATATCTTAATTATACGATGTATGTAAGTAATCCTATAATAGTAGTAATATTATATATAGTATATATATATCTTTTATAAACAAGTATATTAGATATGCGCGCTAGACGATGATTACCTACCGTATACGTTTTGATTATCCGTGATGATTTTCAATAACGACAGCGAGTAATGATCAAAAGGGAATTGCCCTCTTGAAAACAACGGAGAACAACGGAGAACAACGGAGAACAACGGAGAACAACGGAGAACAACGGAGAACGGAAGATCTTTCATGATATATACTATGCATGAATGCCTGTAAAGGCTTCGCCATTGAATGTTCAAGAAACTTGACTGTGGAACGACATTCCACATACTATTACCGATAATTAAATAGCTTTGATCAGTAAACCGAGCATCGTTCCATGGTGAATATTCAGTGGCGATTTATTTCCTTGAAGCAATTTATCAGTTCTTATTATACTAGTCGTGTCACGATCAATGCGCGTAACTATGTCTTATGATTTATTTAACGGTTTCGTTCATAAAAAGAACGCTTTATTGCTATTTTTAACCGGAATCACTAACAATTTCATATACATGTAAGATAATTTCCTTATTGCTCCGGCATCTACTCTAATTTCTCTAATTTATACGAAATTATATATCATTTTCCTTGCCCGAATGTAGATAAGCATATTTAAGTATTATGTACTTATATATATATATATACGTATCACTTTGTATATCTTTTACTTGAACTTTCTCCGTCAGAATACTCACAAAGAATGTTTCTAATACGCACACCAAATCTTTTTTATATCATTGAAAAATTTTCAATAAGCATAGAAGTGCGACATTAGAATCAATTTCCTTCGTACATCCGATTAACGATTTCTTGCATACCTATGCAAACATATGTTTAAAGATAAACCAATTTCATTGCTCTATTACTGTCTCATCTTACGAGTATATAACATTTGTAAAACAGTGAAATTCTATAACTCTACAAGAACTGTATAAGTATTGTGTGAAAGATCCAATATATATATTTACAGGATGATCTGTAACTGGTGGTACAAGCGAAAAGGAGATGATTCTACATGAAAAAATAAATCGAAAATAATGAATAACAATGTTTTCGTTTGAGGCTTTATTTTCGAGAAAATCGACTTTGAATTTTCGCAAAGTACGACTTTCCGTTTAGGCCGTGTCAGGCATTTGTGCCTGACACTCAACTATTTTTTCCATACAAAGTAACGCCTGTGGCCTGACGGGAATTTTCCTAATACAGATCACCCTATATATATAAGAATCTTCCCTTCTCTTCTCTTTTTTTCCTTTTTTTTTCTTTTCTTCTTCTTCTTCGTCTCTCTCGTTGGCCGCGAGAAGGAAAGGGAAAATAAAAGAAAAAACAGAAGAGACCATCCATTCCCTCGAGGCGCGGACTGGCGAAAGAGATTACACCGGTGACTCTCCAGGCAGGCATTGCTCCAGGTAGACATTGCTCCAGGCAAGCATTGCTCCAAGCAGACGTGTATGCAAATGATCATTCCTTCTTACGAGTTTTCTCGATCGTGCGGAGAAGTCCGAGAAAGCTAATATATTGGTCCGCAAGAATGCGCATTTTTCCGTGATTGTAGCGGTCATCTACCACCGTGATCGCAAAGAATGAATGCCGTTATATGCTATGGTATGGTTTTAAAGTTGCGTTTGCACAAATCTCACATGGATTTATTTCTTATTTTTAACACATTTCTTTCACATGATATATGAAAATATAATAATTCATTCACAATGAACGTTCTGTACATTAACACGTAATTATTGGATGGCATCAGATATACATCGTTGTTCATTTGAGAAATACAGAAAAATGGAAAATAATAGTAAAGATTACGACGGACACATTCTATGTCATACGAATGGTCGCGTTTATATGCCGACATCGTACACGAAAAATGTACGTCGTGGAATGCGGCGATTATAAGACATCTGTTACTGCTACTGGACTCTGTTCCACTTTACTTTACTCGATCAAAACTCCTCTCACTTCCTACTACATTGAGGGGAAAAAACTCTACTCTGATGATTTGGAAAAGTGATTCTCAGAATTGTCTAATTAGAAGTCTATTTGGGTAGGTAGATGACCCGAAATTCTAGAAAATTAGAACACTCTTACAATTAGATTTTTGTCCAAGAGAACAATCTCTCTTAATATATTAATGTTATCGTTCATAGGCAATACTCTTCACGACTTTGAAGTAATAACAATCATTTCGATACGTCGAACCCATATATTGGGTTGACAACTAAGTATTGCCGATTTCAGTTATAGATGTCTCTCACTCCCATTTTTTATGATATCCGTAAATGTTATGATCTTCTTCTTCTTCTTCTTCTTCTTATATATGTTAGCTGTCATCCTAATCTAGCTTTACAAGTTCATTGCGTAAATATTTTCTTAGATTTTTTTTTACCTCAATATTAAAACTAAAATCTTTTATTTCATTGAACAAATCGACAATTACTTAGTTGCCAATCCAATATTATATATTACATTCAAATATATATATATATACATATTATGTACCGTTATTGGTATGAATCTTAAATATGTTTCCAAAGCCAAACCCTAATACGGTTCGTATTTTCATCGTCAACCCTTTCAGATAACTAATCGTTTTGTACTTAACGATAACACTTAACGATGAATTCAAAAAAGAATAATAAAGATATTTTCACCAGTTATACAATGAAATAAATCAAATAATATTTACATAAATCTGGAGACGAAAAAATATCACGCATTAACTTTTCCGAAATCGAGTACTCGTCGAGTATAAGTAGATGTAACATGCAAAAAAAAAGCATGTGTACGGTACTTTGAACGTAATCACATGACCTGACCACACTTTCTAAAGAATTTCGTTTGTGTTGCAAAATAAAAAACAAACTGTTTATTTTATAGACCAAAAGAAGCCACCTAATGAATAAATTTAAATACACAAGGAAAATTGTCCGAGGAAAACGCGTGTATAAATATCCGTAGGTAAGTAAATACGTATTTGTAAGAGAAACATGTGCCTCTCGGCGAAAATAAAAAAAAAGAGAAGAATTATATTGTGGTATATATATATAACATCTTCTCGAAGCTCTCGAAACTCGTGTGCGCACACATAGCACGCAAGTATCTCTCTTAATTCGTATGTGCAGGAAAGATGTCTGTATGAAAGTGTATACCTCCGATCTTATGTTTTATATTGAATGATCAAAGGTAAACCGGTTGTACTGAGAACGAGAGACGTGGAAGACGGTGTGCACGTGTGCGCGTATCAGAGAAAAAGAGAGTGAGAGAGAGAGAGAGAGAGACTAGTGAGAGGGTACGGGAAGAAAGAAACAAGCAACAAAATGATCTAGGCGCGGCAAACAACAAACTCTACGCACACACGAGTACTCGCGTACGAGACAGACGTTCATCAAATGATTCTAGCTACTTTGCTTGAAACATACAATATATTTATATATTCTCGAGAATATCGTTATATCAATAAATATAAGTAACTATCGTATATTACCAATAAAAGATTCATTATTAATGTCACCTACTATCGCTTTTGAAATATATCAATCTCTCGACAGATTAAATTATCGTTATACATTAATAAATATTATGATTAATTAGATTCTTTCCTCTAAAGGTAAAGTAATCATCAAATTCTTCAAATTCAATTTTAAATTATTTTAACAATTAGCATGATAAGATTTACAAAGCCATTTGAGGATGAATCAAACAATTTTGTTCGAATATTACAAATAAATAAAGAAACATTGTATTTTATTTCACTATTCATGATCTCATCTGAAATTCTGTGAAAAAAGTCTATGGGAACAATTCAGAATTCATTGCATTGAACTCTGATCCTTATTGGAGAACTCTTACGATATTACGAACTTATATACGAGCTGTATTGCTTAATACATACTGCAAGAATACATACTGAAACTGTGTATGTGTGCGAGCATAACGCCTGCATGTTTAAGCACGCGTGAACTTCGTGTTACGATTATTTATATGTAAGCATGTGAGTTATTCTTCTCCCTTACCTTTTTTCTTAGTTAATATCATTTTTTTCTTACTAGAAGCCTTCATCTTTACGATCTATGTAAAAAAACTTAAATGTTTTATAACTTTTTTTATTTTTCTTACGAAGTTGTCTTTTATGTGCCATAAGGCATCAGGGAATGGTCTCATTGGTCGTAAAAATATAATAAAACAATTTCTATCAAATATGCCTTGAGAAATAGTTGTTTATAATAAAAGTAAGCGCAAACTCACCAGAATGATTAGCAAGATGAACTGATAGGTACAATCCTCGATTTTCATCGGGGTTATTCACCCAATGTGAAAGAGGTTTGCTGACATTTAATGTCAACCATCCTTCTTTTCCTACTGTGGTGTTTATCGCGTCAACATACTGCAATTCCCGTGATCTAAAAATATATAATATTACATTAATAAACACTTAAATAAAGTAGTGTCGTTGACCGCTCGCTATCTTTAACAAGGCATCAATACATTATCTGCTTTGTCATCGACTACTAAGAAGCACGTTTTGCGTCAGATTTAGATTAGTGAAGAAATAATTAACATACCTACGTATAATTAGAAAAAGAATTAAATAATGAACGAGAGAATAAGACAAATAGATAAAGGCAGATATAAATATGTCTTACTCGTAATCTACTCATAATAAGTATGTGTAAAATCGTACCTATGATTCGATACTTCGAATCATAAGAACAAGATTTTTCGATTTTTTCGTCAACAGACAAATGCCAATTCGAGACAAATGCCATCGGTCTCCAATTCACATAATTATTTCTTCGTACGTACATACATACATACATACATACAGTGTATAGGTATAAGTCTAGGTACAGATATGTATATGCATGTCATACGAACAATGAATTATCTCGTCACGTTCGTCTCTTCTCACGATAATTATTGCGTTTCAAATAACATTCCTTACGCGTTAACACAAATGATCAGATTTATCAGCTGAGAAATCTATCAACTAGCCTAGCTTACGTAAACGAGTTTGCGTAAATCGATTCGCATAGCTTGCTCATTCACTCGTTGCGATCATCATATCCACCATCATTTGGAAGATTGTTGAAAGTTGAAATGAATGTAAGTAAATTGTTTCGCATCGGTCTATGATTGGCCGCTTCGCGAAGAATGAATCATACGAAGAAAACGATTGTAGGAACATTGATTCTTGAACAAGCTAGACCCCTGTTAATTATGTAGTTATATACATATATACAATAACATATTCGATTGAATCTCGAATTTGATTAATTTTGTTCATTTGTCAACAAGAGACAGAACGAAGAGCACGTGGTTGCGTCTCGTGTCTGTGACAGAATATTTATATTGTAGAAACCTGAGCGTATACAAGAAAGCCGAGTCGCCAACTTGTCTCGAAAGAAGCTTCAAGTAGATGAAGGAAAAAAAATAGGAAGAAAAGGATGCGTGACGCATCGAGGGAAACGAAGAAGGAGAGAAAAGAGAAGGAGGTGGAGGTGGAGACAGAGGAACCGCGTGTGTTTAACTGCGTAGGCACAGCAAGTAACTCGTATTCTTAACTTCTTGCCTGAAGTCCGTCGTCTCCACAGTTAATTTACCTCAATTTACGGAATAGTGTTTCCTGTCAGAGTCTGTATATCGGTCAGGTCGTAGTACCAAAGTCTGCAGTGGTACCAATAGGGGAGGGGGATGACGACGGGCTTAGACACACCGTCGCCATTCTCGTTGGAAGCTTTCTCTCTCTCTCTTGGAAGGAGCAAATTAATCGACTCGATCGTTCGATCTCTCGCGCGGATACCCTGCTATATCTAATTTAATTACATCTCGATCTCCATATATTTACTCTATATTGTCCTCTACTATAATATATTGAGAAAGAAATTGAGAAACGATCCGCGCGATGATCATTCATACCTTCGACGAAACTAATCAGACAGATAACAAAATGAAACAAATAAGATAAGAAAAAAGAAAAATTATGGATAGTTCGTCGATGCTTTCTCACAGGTAGAACAAAAATACCTAACATTTTTTCACTAGCTCGAAAACTACCTAATTAGGACTGCAATGACGATATCAAAAATCATCAATACTCTCTTCACTTAAATTAAATTGTTCTTGTTTTTTTTTTTTTTTTTTTTTTTTTTTCCAGATAAATTGTTTACTTCATAAATTGACGAGGGAAAAAGAGAAAGAGATTTCAATCCTAATGTTTGCTTACCCATCTTCACTTCTTAGAACTTGATATGCCGTAATCGTGTAAGATTCATTATTTTCTTGGCTTTTTTCGTCATATCTTTGATAAAGTCTTAATTCAGCTCCGATTATGTATTCTTCGGCTGGAACATCCGAGACATCGAACCAAAGTCTCTTTCCGCGCTCATGTCTCACGCCAGGAACATGATGATCTGCGAATAGAAAAAAGCATTTTCATAAAGTCGTTTTAACTATGGTCACACCGCATGAAACTTCAATTTACGATGGGTTCGTTCCGAGGCAATTAGTTTCTATTCCTTATCTACTAAACTATAAAAGCTTCTGTCCTTCGAGATAAGCTGACAGTTGAAAGGAAACCATTTACGATTCCTAGAATAACAAATTTTTCCAAAAGAATCTATTTAAACGTTTTTCCTATGAGTCATGTCAAGTCGAACAAAAATGATGAAGACCGAAAGAATAGAATATCTTTGGACAAATTCCTCTAAAACGGAAGAATTTAAATATGTGGGTCAATTATATTTTGTAGATATACCGACAAAGAGGATATATCTCAAGGAGAAAAGCTTGTTTAAAAGATCGATAAGGGCTATTCTCACAAAGGAGGATCTTTGGAACGAGCCGTAGACAATTCGCAGCGTGAAATCATCTTTTTTCTGACGTCAAAGCAGCCGCAGCTAGTGACTACCCTTCAAGCTGAAAGAGGAGAGAAGAGAAAAGAAGAGAAGAGGAGAGAGAGAGAGAAAAAGAGAATTCTCTTTCTTTCTCTGACGACTCGAGAAGAGGCCAGAGAAGAAGAAGCCTAAGTAATGCTTAATGTTTCTCTCATCGAAATCGGGGAGGTAGAAGAGAAGGAAGAAGAGCCTTAAGAGGTGGGCCTTAAAAGGGGGGCCTTAAGAGGGGCGGGGAACAGACGAAGGCATAAAAATTTGTTTTGTTTTTCTCGAACGGTCGCATTCCAACGGCACCTGATTGCCGCGAGCGAGGCTGGACCCCTGGCACTCGGGGTGGTCCCGAATAGCTCGAGTCCATTCTGGACCGCTCCACGCCAACAGTGGACTTTTCTTTTTTACCCTCTCCGTACCCGTCCACTCCACTCTATTCCATCCCACTTGGATTCATCCACCCTCCCACAGCTTCATCCAACTTCTCTTACATACAAACGCATCATCGTCCGACAACTGGCTACAAGGAAGTATCCTCTCCTTCCAAATTTTTATTTCTTTCTTATTTTTCTTATTTTCTTCTTTTGAATACCTACTCTGTTTTTTGCTCTAATTAGCAATAATTTTATTTAATATTTTCATTCATTGAAAAGAAAAAAAAAAAACGTTAGACATTGTTTTAAGACGTTATTGGAACTTGTTTGAGTCAAATAGAATCTTAAAGAATCTAATAGTCGATTCGAGCCATTAGTCCTATCGTAAAAGCATCATCACTTTACATTCATCATTACCTTTCAACCTAGACAACAAAAAATCGGATAGGTTCATCTATCTATTTCTTGTAGATTTTGTCTGCTTTGCCAAATGCTTTTCTCTCTCTCTCTTTCGCTGCCTTTCCGACAAGATAGAGCCGCCCTTGGTAAAAGACAGATAGTCGTGGAAGGGAGAGACGAAGAGAGGAGAAAGAGAATGGTCTTGAAGAGGAAAGGAGCAAAAAAACTATTCGGGATGAACATGGGCACCCAAGTTGAGACATTTTTACCTGCCTGCGGCTTCACGTGGGGAAAGAGAGATATTGACTCGTCTTCCCAACGGGGATACCCATGACCAAAGGAAAGAAAACAAGTAAAAAGAATAAAGAGAAAGGCGATGGAGAAACTATAGATAATATATTGTAATGATACGCACGTGTATCAAGATGTTTTTATATCTATTTTATTACCAATCCGAAACGTTTTTTCTTCCTTCTTTCAAATCAATCGATCAAAGAAATTATTTAGTAACTATAGGTGTGATATTCTTGATAATATTTTTGAAAGTAGAGATCGTACGGCCTTGAGTTGGCATGGTACTTAATTATCGATGACTGTGTGCCTACAAATCTCCGAAGGACTTTATGAATTTATTCAGACGCGTATCATAAATCTAACTAATTCAGCCGAAAATTTGGGGAATCGAAAAAAGAAGAATTTCCATTTAAATAGTTATTTTCACGAATGACTATGATTAAGAAACGAGATAGCGCGATTACAATCTTTAAATAAGGAGAACGTTGTTTTACATCAACAATTGTTGCTTTCTAATTATATATACATCTTTATCTCTAGATTCTAATCATTATTGGTATGGTAGTGTAGCAACGAAAAGTAAGGAAAAGAGACAGACTCGTAGCAGGACAATTAATTAAAATAGTCTAGTAGTTGTATAACGTAATAACGCGATTTAATTTATGTACGTTTTTATCGGACGCTCAGAGTTCCCAGTATTGGGTTGAATACATATGTCGAATAAGTTATGGTTATAGCCTTATGGGTATCAATTTATATGCATGCCGCATATCACGTCGAAAAGCCTAGAACGTTTCTCAATGCGAGCCACGGTAGAGACGGTAACGTCAGGGAGATAGAGAGAAGCGAGGAGAGAGAGAGAGAGAGAGATAGAAAGAGAGAGATAAGATGAGAGAAAGAAAGAGAGAGAGAGGCAGGCAGGCACGCAGACAGGCAGACAGACAGAATGACAGACAGACAGACAGACAGAATGACAGACAGACAGACAGACATACAGACAGACAGACAGATACAGAGAGAAAGAGAGAGAAAGAGAGAGAGAGAGAGAGAGGATATGGACGAAGAAGAAGTTTCCGAGAAGTCCAACCGTGTTCTTTGCGAAGGATACCAAGTTCCACACTAGAAACTGACCTCTCACGTTCGACCACGTAAGCCTGATCACAAAACCAAGATCGAATTCCTTGTCGATGTCGTTCTTGGTCGACCAATCGTGCAAACTTCCTCTTCCTTTCTTAATCAAAAAAAAAAAAAAAAATAAAATTTATATTTTTCGGTTGCCGATTTGAGCACTTTCTATTATTGCTTCAGTTTATTTCGTCTTCGGATAAAAGAAATGAAGAATTTTATCAATTTTCATTAATTCCCATTGAAGTTTATCAAATTGAAAAATAAATGTTCTATAATGTGTAGGATTCATTAAAATCGAATAAATTTGAGCCATTGTATTTGTATACATCGACGATGGATCGAAAATTAATCGGAAATTAATCGGTTATAAAGTGTCACGATAACAGGAGAATCTTAGCAAATAGAAAGTACCTTGACGAGTTTCATAGATTTGTTAGCGTCGAAATCGAAGAAAGTAATGAAGACTTTTGGACTTTATGCTTCAGCTTTCGATTACAAGTGTTACTACAAACAAAATAACTGTTAAATACGAGAAATGGTAAATTTGACAAGATTAAGTTTCTTGATAAAATATTCATATCGTGATATAAATATTGAATGTTTGAGCGAGTAAACAAACTTTGTGAAATAATATGATTATAAAGATGTATTAAATCTTCTCAACTAGTTAATACTAGTTACCTCTCAGTCAGTCTGTTTCTACGAGGACATAGATTCGCGAAGAACGGGTTCGTAAACGAGTTTCGGAATACGTCGTGAGCGGAGTTCACAATCTCTACTTTGAACAACGTAAATGCATTTCCTTCTCTACCTCTTCTGTTTTTATTTCATTCATTCCAGAAGATCAGTTTTATGAGAAAGTCTTTTTTGAAGCATCGTAGATAGATTCTAAACTATTTCAAGCAAATAGATAATGTATTATTTTGAGATAATTGAAACGTTACAATAGGACGAGTGGGAACTAAATGACAAGGAAAGAAGCATCTGGTCTATGGTGAAATAAGAAAACAAAAAGGAAAATAGACGAAATAGAATATTATCTGATTATATACGTTAATAAAAATCAAATAAAAAGATAAAAATGCTCGAAGTCTTCGTCTATGATCTTTCTCTTTTTAGCACGAATTTATCCATGCGCGTATTCGGACAAGTATGCAAGGAATCACGCAGAATCGCGAGTAGTCAGTCGTGGACTTGCGAGTCGTCTCTCTCTCTCTCTCTCTCTCTCTCTCTCTTCCTTTCACTCTCACGCTCTCTCTCTCTCTCTCTCTCTCTCTCTCTTTCTCCTTTCCTCTTCATTTTGTCCATGTATACCCCATCCCCGAAGAGAATAATAACTCACTATGCGCAGCAAAGGTCATGATGACGTCGCTCTGGTCGATGGCCCTGAGATCTTGACCAGTAAGATCGAACTCTCCTCCAGCTCTATACTGTTGATCGGCGGTTGATCCTTGCTTGTCGTCTTCATCTTCGCCAAGTGCATTTTTGTAAATGTCGATAAGAAATTTAGGTGCAGATCTCTTGATTTGAGGTGCTACTGTGTTCTTCGGCCTATCAGGTAATCCGAGAAGATTTAATATCTCATGCTCAACTTCGCGTTTTTCTCTCTGGCTAACAACCCTGTGTACGATCGTTTGATCAAAACCATTATCAACATAAAGTCCGCTCATCCTCTCCCCACAACCTCTCGTCGTTAATTCGCTGAGGATCGTCGCGAGGATCAAGATCGGCGCGAGACGGTATGATAACATCTCGTCGTTGACGAGCTCTGGCCGGAGGTCACCCTCCCGCCTCCAGCACCACCACCACCACCACCACTGCCACGACACTTTCGTCTTCGTCTTCGTCGTCGTCAGCTTTACTGTGTTTCTCGCTGCCCTCAACACCGTTGCAATCGTGTGTATTAATAATCGTTCTCGTCCCTCTCTCTTTGTTTTTCTTTCTTCCCCAATTGCTTATTTTTCTAAGACACGGCCAACAACGCCAGCGCAAAAACTCTCCTCGAAGGATCTTCGAGGATCCGCGCGGCGCAACACAGCGCAGCGCGGATCGATTGAAATCGAATTTATCGCACTTGACTTGTTCGATCTTAACGTAACTCGATGAAATTATGAATCCAAAGATCACACGAATAGCTTTTGAATAGCTTTTCACAATTTATCCTAGTTTGAAAAGAAAAGAATAAGGTGTATAGAAGCGCGCACAAGGTAATAATTCTCCAGGACTCGAGACATTTACTAAACAATTTGGTCCTACCTCGAGCACACTTAGCTCGAACTCTCGATGAGCACCGATGAGCAAACACTGCCACTGCTGCTGCCGTCACTGCTACTACCGTCGACTCCCGCGATGCCAGTGCCAAAGCAGTAGTCAGTTTGTCTGCTAGTCTGTACAATGTGCCGTCCCGTTCCGTCCCGTCCCACCCTTCCCATTCGTGCCGTCCTGTACCGTGCGGTATGCCGTACGGTGTTCCACGCACCTCCTCGTTCTCGCTACTACTTTCCTCCGTGAGGGTTTTACCACCGCCTCCCAGATCCGTACCAATTCGATACACGACCCTGCTTTTTAATTTTCTCATTTTTTCTTTTTTCATCATATACTCCCTTATCACTTTCTCTCGGAACTTACATCAGTTATAAACTATTACATAATCAGATTGATTTTAATTACCTATGTACATGTAGATCACTCAGACATTTATAGACAATAAATACATAATAACGCAATAACGAGTGAAGTTTATTACTAAAGTTTACTACTACAAAAACAGTGTCAAAATTGAATCGTTGAAATGAATGCACATCGATAATTGTCACAATTCTAAATAAAAAATAACAACAATATAGCTATAGTACCATTAGTCAATTTAATTGTAAGTAGAAAAAATAATAGGTTTTAGAAAAGAAAGAAGAAGAARAAAAAAGTTTATGTAGATAAACTTGCAAATATAACGAAACAAGATATTTCCGACGATTGTTATTAAAAATTCTCGAAACTATTTATACGTTCCTGCGTCATAGTGATAGGACCGCCCCTGTCGAAGAAGTAGGCGGTGTTCAGCAACAATATCATTCGACTCTACGTGTATCGAAGATCACGGTTAGTGAATAAGCGACGTGCGATGGCGGCTAATCTAACGTAGCAATTCTTCTTTTAAAATCTACTTCATTTTTGATCAAATCGTCCAGCGAGCTTCATATGTCTATTTTTTATTACTTATAATTCTTTCATTTCTTTTTTACAAATGATTAAATGTTCATTTTCAATAAGAAATAAAAAATATATATTATTCCTTTAATTATGCCTATATTAATAAACATTTATGAAGCAATAGTTAAGAAGTCATATAAATTTGTCACAAGGTGAAATTAGCATTCGAATGATCATTTTTGTTTCTTACACACGGATATACCTTAAATATTTGATATATTTTAATTCTATCGGTTAAATTTACTTTTTATCTGAATATATCGAATAACATCACTAGAAAATAATATATATTTCTTTCTGTACAATTGTTTTCTATCTAAGCAGCACTTACAACATATAACACACTTTTTGTCAAATTTCTAATGAGTTATAATAGTTAATATAAAAATACTTTATTTTCAAATTATGAAATTTTGTTCTCTTAAAATATTGCTTCGTTTAATTTAATCCTAGATAAATGAAAAATATTATCTACCATACGACAATTAAAGTTATTAGTACTACCGCTAAATATGCTGTAATATTTGCTTTTTATTATTATTATGAATTTGATAACAAATAAACACGCGAACCATCCCTCTTTATAGGTGAAGAATAAGTCAAAAATGTTAAAGAATTAAATTTTAACGACATTTATGACGCAATCTCATATTTGATTTTTATTTCTCTATTCTAATATAAATCATCCAAGAACATTTCAATAATTATGCGAATATATTTAATACTGTTATGTTTCAAATTTAATCTACTTTTTATATTGCTCTTCTTTCTGATTGATCATTAAAAAGAAAAGAAAAAAATGTAAATATGAGAAATAAGATAACTTAACAAATGAAAGATTGAACGTGCCGGGAGAAAATATATCTCTTCTCAGAAATCATTTTAAGGAGATGTAGCAATGAACGGTCGTTTTTCTTTCTCTCTCTCTCTCTCTCTTTCTCTCACTCCCTCTCTCTTTCTCATGGAAGCGGCCTCGTGTCCCTGCCGCTTGTTGGCCAGGTCGGTGCCAGGGAGTCTACCGACGATAACCAGCTGCGCATCGCATCGGTAGACTGCCTGCTGCCTGCCTGCATCTCTTGGCACCCTACGACCGGTTATACTTGACCCAGCGGTTAACAGACGCTCTCGACTGCAAAGACTGGCTTGCACCGCTACCGAAATGCGCCCACGTAAATACACGAGCCGCACACTACTGAAACCTCTGCTTAATGTATTCGCGCTTACTTTTCTGTCTTTATATCCTATAATTAGTCATACTTTTTTTCCTCTTCTTTACCATAGCTACACTTATTATAGTAGTATAATATATATGTATATATATATATATATATATATATACTTTTTAATTTATTCATATATTTTCGTATATGAAAAACTCCACGTTTTTGTTCAAATTAATGATGATTGACTTTACCAAAATCTTTATTCTCCTTAGAAAAATGAAATACATACTTATGGAATATTTATAATTCTAATATGTCTATAGGTATACAGAAAAATCAGTATATAGTAAAAAGAAAACGTGTGACTCTCATACTTTATTTGTAATTCATTAATATTCATTGAAAATAAATGTACATAGAGTATTATATTTGTGCTTCTTCTTCTTTTTTTAAATTAATATTCTGAGCATAATCTATGCATGTAAAAAGAAGATGATTATATTCTAGCACACAAATTAACTATATTTTCTCTCTTTTTTGTCAATTTCAATGATTATTTACGAATACGCAATATATGCAAACAAATATATTATCACAAAATTCAATACATTTATAATAAAAGTTATTCCACGCTACTTAACATATTTTTCCATAAATTTACGATGAAACTCGCTTCTTAAAGAATCGTTAATAAAAACGTCATGTTTCTTTTTTGGTTCTGATCGTGCACAATTTTTAAAAACAACGTCGTCGTCCCATCTTCTTCTCACTTTCATGTCTGTTCTGCCACTTTGAGAGGAATAATTAAGTAAAGGATTTCCAGAAAGAATATTTTCCATTCTTATTCTTTCTTCTTCTTGTTTCTTTTCCATTTCCTGTATAATTAAAAAAAATATATAATGTATTAAAGTAAACGGTTTATATGTGAAAACAAATGTGCGTAGGATAATGACCTTTTTAGCTTGCTCAGCTGCCCTTTCTTTCTTAATTCTTTGCAATTCAGCTACGAGAGCTGCAGTATCATCTTCTTCGCTCTCTGACTCAGATTCATCTTCGTCAAGGGGATCATCCGCATCCAAGCTAGCTGCTGGAACTTGATCCATTTTTTGTCTTTTTGCATTAGTTGGAGCAGGTTCTCTGGCAGGTTCAATCATACGTCGACTAGAATTTTTATCTTTCTCTCTATCACGTTCCTCCAATTCTTTACGAAAATCGCGATTACGGAGTTCTTCGATCGTTCCTTGTCCATGTTCTCTGTAATGTTATGTTTAAAATACGTCATCAAAAATAATATCATAAATAAGATATTAAGGTTATGTTTACAACTCAGAATGCAATCATGCACCATGCTTAAGTAGAAATATTAAAGAATATAGAGAATTAACATAATCTTCATTTATTATGTGTCTTATGTTTATTTATTTACCTGTATTTTAATTTGGTATGCGATGGCAAATCTCTGCTGCTATATTGTTTCGATATCGCACTTAAATCTTTTTCACCCCGGCCCTGACCACCTCTAGCCGGATCAAACGTTGGCCTTGCAGCTGTTGTCATCTTGTATCTTTAAAATGATTTAATACACACACACGCAATATATTTTTAAAATAATCGTTTTTCAATCGAGTAGACAAAGTTGACACGAGACAAAATACCAAAGTTTACACGACATAAGCATTATTTTTCTTAACACATAGCTAGATGGCGCTATTTCGATTTCTGTTAAGATTAATATCGATATTCGATTCGATAATGATGACGCGACGGCGCCAAATATTCAAATGTTTGTCAATGATCGAGACTGTGATAACAATTAAATAATAATACAAAAAAGTATAAAATAGAATTTAATACCTTGTTCATGTTACTTTACCATACTTTTTACAAAGTATTATAATATTTACTTATTTGCTAAGGATCTTGGTAATTTGTATTTTTATTGGATCCTTTTTGTTCAATCAAAAAGACTAAAGAATTTTTAATAATAATATGAGTATTTATTTGCAATTTTTAAGCTAGCTATTTTATTACTTATTTGTGTGATACTGTATTAAATAACAGATTGATATTTCAATCGTTAGAAACGTATTTCCATGAGAATTATATCGATGTCAATACTGGACAGCATTTCAACTTTCATACAGCAAAGATGTATACATGATATGAAACATTTCGCTTTACATCAATGGTTCTATTAAAAGAAAAATTTGTACATTTGCACGTCATATCACAAGAAGAACGTCAAAAAGCTAATAATTCTTTCCCATCTTAACAATTATAAACACAAATATTCCATTGGTCGGAATTACAATATTTTTCCAGCTTATGGCAGTATTCGTCACAACGTGGTCACAACATGGTAATAATGGATACTCTCGATCAATTTTTACCTGAAAACCCTAATCTTATAATAAGAATAAGAATAAGGTTTTTTAATTATTCACTTTTATATGCACAACAAAAGGAAGAGAGGGGGAAAAGTCTCGCGCACACAGCACAATAAGATAAATTGTACAAATAGTATAATTTACTTGCTAAATACAACAAACGTGCGCTACTAGCTTGAATATTCAGACATAAAAGGAAAAATCTTAATATCAAAAAAATAATATGCAACGGCAAAAGTGTGGATATAAATCTCTCTCTCTCTCTCTCTAATGATAATATTTAGTGAAAGGCATAATACTATTGGCAGCTTTGTCAAAAATTCTAATTGATCCTGTTTCCTCTTGTTTTCCAATTAAAAACATACAAAACATGTTATAGAATACCTTTTGTTATCTTTAATCTTATCTATATTGATATAAAATAAGATATGTATATTAAATATTATTTGTAAAAAAAAAATCTATATTATATATCATTGAAATTAAAATCCAAAAACTCTTTTGTAAAATCGAATTACCTACGTATATCTCTTCCTTTGTTTAAACATTTTAACTGTATTAACACAAGTTTAAAATATAACTGTGTTCAACAATTCTTTTACAAATTTATATTCACAGTTATGTTAATTCGTAATATTAACAAAGTGTGTTAAATATCTTTAAAAATCACAGAATTTGGAGAAATTCTCCTAAAATTATAGTATATATATGTATATATATATATATTTGTTGTGACATTAAAAAGATTTCTCTTATACAATTATGTACAAAAATTTAAAAAAGAATAATTATATATAAGTATTATAACAAAAAAAAAAAAATATAACTCTATTCAAAATATATCACATAATAAACATTTAAACAACTTTTTACAGGATCAAAATAATTTGTGAAATGCGTGAACTAAGGAGATAATAGTCGTGATAAGTACATCTTGAATAAGTATATGCTACATTTTAACGAGCGAGGATATGTCTAACAAATAGAAAAATTCACTTTTATAGGCATATCTAAATTAAGAATATTTTCAATTAAGAAAAACGATTTTCTTATTGGCTTTTTATGAATGTTAGATATATCCTTTTTTGTATTATTATTATTATTATTATTATTATTATTATTGTTATTATTAATGTTATTATTATTTGTTCTTATTGATACGGACCTAAGCTTATTATATTATAAATCTCGTTTATACATTACATATGTATCCGAAATAAATTATACATGTACAAATCAAATTATATGTTCATGAAGTAGACAACATATAAATTACATAATCAATTTTTGCACAATGAATCAATAAATGTTTTGTAACATGTTTCATAATCTAGTTTGCTATCATTGCATATACATGTACGCAGAATATATATCTAATAATCTATCATTGAATGAAAAATGATAATAAAATAAAAAATAATAATATATATTTATATATATATATAATATATAATATAACATTGTGTGAGAGAAATACCTTATTGTAATCTTAATAAATAAAAGCTCTAAAAGTATATTGTATTGTATATACCAATACGTATTATATATTATAATAGATGAAGTTAGATTTTACATTTGGAAAGTACATACTAACAGAAAGTAGACAGTACAAATTGATCCATTTTCTTATGCTTAAAATAATTTTACAATTGACACTTAGTTAAATCGTTATGCACAAATACTGCATCATATATTAAAAATGTGATAGTGACTGTATTGTTATGATAGTTGTTAATTGAACAATTGTATGACAATGATACATCAATAAAATAAACATTAAATTTTATGTATCTATCAATGTAAGAAATATGTTTACCGGAATCTTAAGAATATAAGTAAAGTATTTAAATGTAGCCACTTCTCTACTCTAAAACGAGCTGATATAATTTATGATAGTCAGCCTTAAATCTCGTCAGAGCAATACTACCAAGTTTACTACTGTTTCATTAGAATATTATGAACAATACTTTTGTTTCCAACATTTCTTTTTAATGTAAGAAAAGAATCTTTGCAGTATAGAAAATGGTCTCTGATTACTGATTCAAAAATGATATATATGCATACATATATACATCGAGCATAATGTGAGTATAATTGAAGCATAATTTAAGCATAATGAGCGTATTTAAGAGATTTGCTTATTATTTTACTTAATTATTTTCTATCGATACTCTAATGTGATTGCAATGAACTTCGAGAGACATGAACAACATTATCGCGTGACTTAGGCTGTGCTCGTATGACTATTAGCGCCACTAATAACACTAAATAAAGCCGCGCTGTTACGTTTAAAGCTTCCAACTTGTTCGTCCGACCATATAGGTTCACCCAATAACGATGATAAACTTTGACAAAGCTTTTGATAATTTTCGCGTAATACTTCCTGATATTCATACTGGTCGGAAGTAATTAATTTACTATTGATCTGTAAAGCTGTATAACATATTTTTACAAATTCCCTGTAAACAGAAAAAAAGAGAACTGTTACATTATACATATATATATATAAACATAATATGAGAAGAGATATTATAAATTATAGATAGAATAAAATTACCTAAAAACGTCTTTTAACTCTTCAACTTTATCATCAGAATATTGCAGAGAAAGTGCTGGGTCTAAAAATGCAGAAGCATATGCAAGTGGGCCAGCGTTTACTGTCACACAAATGCTTCCCTGTAAACGTAATTGAAGTTTTTTCACATCCGTTGGAGCTATTAAAGCCACATCCTCTAATTCTTGAACACGTTGTCTCATTTCATCTAAAGCTACTTCGATGGGGCTAAGTTCCATTATTCTCTTTTCAATCACTACTATACGTTTTTTTATATAAGGAAAGGAATATTGTGCTATAAATAAATAAATAAAAAGTAAGTAATAATATTTGATGATAATCTTTAAATAGAATAAAGCAATGGAAGAAATAAAAGAAATAAATCGTTAGAATTACTATACACAGAGACAAAAGTTTATAATTGTACTTGTTAAAATAGTTCTTCTCTTCCACTGATCTTCAGGGTTTGCCCTTACTCGTCCATCTTTCGTAAATGGAGTTTCAAACATGAAACAAGATATATTGTGATTTTGTTCAAATTCTGTTTGTCGAGTATCTAGTTCTATTTTTTCAAAATACGGAGTTACGTGCGTCACTTGAATATATGCTATTTTTGGATCTAATTCAGCAACATTGATGGGTACAGAGTCCATTATCATCTTGACATTTTCAAAACCAAATTTTTCCGAATATAAATGGTGAAGTCGTTCAGAGATTTCTGACAATGACGTCACTTTAGGCTCCTTATATATATATTCTTGGCCATTTTCTTCTTCGAAATATGCCTACAATAATAAACAAATAAATAATTCATCTCAATATAGAATAATAAACTGTTTGAATGAGGAATGATAAAAGATAAATTAACGATATTTACAGATCCAAAAAATGCTATCCTATAAAATCTCCCAAGAAGCCGTTTGCCGGATTTAGTAACTTCTACGATTTTATTGCAAGCTTGTGCTAAATGTGTATAACAATTTGCTAAAGCGTCATAATTTCGTTTTTCTTCATACATAGGAATTATTAAACGATACAGATGACCAAGTAATTCGAAACGTTCCGCTTTTTCTAACATTTCAGCACAAAGTTCCAATTGCTCAAGCAATAAATATTCTGTGTAGTGAATATCTTGAACGCCTGTATAAAAAGACCATTTAAAATATAATATTTACCATTCGTGTTAAGGTTACATGAAAAATATTGTTTTCCAACTATTATTCACTCCAAGCTTTAAATCGTTATTATTATTATATATGCATAAGTAAGCTAGTATAAAACTTGCTTAAAATACAATGCAATTATGATGCAAAACATACAAATCTCACCAGCATCGAGCTTAAGGCTACGCTCATCTCTAGAAATATTCACGGAAATACTGTCAAAAGCCTCTGCTCCCCATGTATGAACTTTCTTCAATTTTAAATATTCTGCCATTAATGCTGCAATATGTAACTGGCAACAAGCTGCCTAAATGAAATAATATAAGCAATCGTATAGATCTATCATATTATACATAACTACTATAACAAGTATGTAAAAAATACCTCGGAATAATTTCCATCTCTAGCATGATTTCTAGCCATAGTTTCCAACCAAGTATGCCTCAATTCTGGTGTACTGGCATAAGAATTAGCCAAACTATGTTGTAAATCAACAAGCATTTCAGGATCATTGTTATGCTCCCTCATCTGTGCTGTTGCCATTAAAACTGTTCGAATTCTTTTATTCAAATCTTTAACTTCAACTGGAAAACCAGTACCCTTCATTACTTTGTCAGAAGAAGCATAACTATTTATCAATGACAATGATTCTTGAAATCTTGAATTATTTAAACCAATCACATTTCCAAGCATTTGTGAAACTGAGATTATTACCTTGAAAAAATACATGAAAACGAAAATGTATAATAAATATTGTTAATTTAAAATATATTTTTCCAACTTAATTTCACCTGTAAATGCACTCTTGTCAATCCTTTTCTACTAGTAAATTCAAAATTACTTCTCATAAGCAAATACAGTAAAGCACACGATTCTTGTCTAATAGAACTAAGTTTACTGTTACAACATCGTAATAATTCATAGCATAATCGTCCACAAAGTACTGCATTTCCTGAAAATATGTATTAGGGTGTACATTAATTGTTTCTACTCAAAGTGTAACTTGTAACTTGATAACTATATCTATTTTATCACCTAATATATATAAGGTGATAAAAAACACTCTGTATATATATATATAAATGCATACCTTGAAATAAAGCAATAGAATAATTATTTAAAAATGCTCGAAGTCCAGCAAACACGTGACGTAAAAGGGTCTCAGATTGACCAACTTGAAGAAAGGATAGATAGATGTTGAACAATTTTTGCATTATTGGATTTTCTCCGTCGTCTGCTAAAAGTGCATCCTATGAAGAGTAAATATATTATTCTTATTGATAATTAACGTAACTTTATATACGCGCTCATGCGTTCACGCACGCACGCACACACACACACACACACACACACACACACACAAAGAGAAAAAGATATATAAATATGAACGAATACATACTTTAAAATGAATACAAAAGAGACCTAAGCAGTCAAGTGCTATAAGACCAACTTCTGTAGCCATATTTGCCTCGAGTAAAGCTTGATACATTTTACCACTGTCATTTTCAATAAGATTCTCTCTAGTAACAGTATTATGTGGTTGCAGTGTACCAGTAGTTGGACTTTCAGTAGTAAAATCTGGTGGTGCCATTCTAGCTGGTAATGTCATTGCTTTTACTGTACGAGGTTTTCCAGAATTATTTATTATATTAGCAGCTATTTGCCTTTTACCAACATATTTGAAATGGTGAAGACTTATTCTAGAGAAAAATTTAATCAAATAATTTCTTATCTTGTAAAAAAGGACAAAATTATTATTAATTAAGATGACTTACTCGATGACAGTAAAAAAACTCAATATCTCTGAATCGCTGCATTGTTGCCACCATGCAATAACCTGATGATCGCCTAAATATTTGATCACGAATAGAAAACAAAGCAATATATCCTTAACTTCAGAAGATTGCAATTTATCGCATCTAGGTGAAGACTGAGTAACGCTTAAAGAACGAGAATGTCTTTTTTTATCACTTGTACCATTTTCCACAGATTCACGAATAATTGCTGTTTCTTGAGATATATTTGACTGTGAAGCACCTGACATCGTTGATGTATCTGATTCTATACTAGTGCAAGAATAGCCATTCATCAAACTTTGTCCAGCGATAGCAGCAAAATATGTAGAATCTCTTAAATGTATAGATGCTCTAATGGGAGATTGCGTATCCAAATTTAACGTAAGTCTATAAATAATTAATTATGTAATCAAATCATCGTCATCGTAGTCGTCGTCGTCGTCGTCGTCGTTGTCATCATCATAATCATAATCGTCATCATTATCAAAAACAACAATTACAATAATAACTATAATTATAACAACAACAACAAAAACAACAACAACAACAACAACAACAACAACAAAATTAATATAGTAGCAATAATAATAATAATA